ATTGTCACCGCCGTAAGACCTTGTGCAGCCAGCGTGAAGGGGCCCCTCAGCAACAGACACACCATCTGGGCAGCACCCGTACCTAGGCAGACATCGCACAGCCCCCCTCACCACCTGGCCCTGGCCTCCACACACCTCCAGGGATCCTCGTGCTGGAGCTTCCATCATCCCAGGCCCCAGGCTCTGGTGCTCCCTGCACTGAGGGGTGAGTCAGGGAGAGACCCAGGTGGGTGAGGATGTGTCCCTACATGCAGGGTATACCAGTTTGTGTGCCCCAGTCTCTGCCTACAACCACAGTGGGCAATAGCAGCATGGTAAGCAGAGGCTACACCCCAATGGCTGACAGATTCTGACTCACCTTGCCACAAACCAAGAAGGCAGAGGCTCATCTGAGCCTGCCTGCCTAGATATTAGCTTCCCAGGGAGCTGTTACAACATAGGAAAAGGCAGGAGGGCAGAAAAGGGGTTCAAAGAGCCCACCATTTATTTCACATCCACTTGTGGGTACTGGGAACAAGGGGAAAGGACACCAGGAACTCTGTGACTTATCTCATCCTTACAATAACCCATCCAGCGATTGCCATGGTTTCCCATTTGAGAGGAGGAAAACCAGAGAGATTAAGTAACTTGCCCCAAGTCACCCAGCACAGAGCTGGGAAGGGGCTGAACTGGGAGTCACCCCCGGGCTGAACTGGGAGTCACCCCCAGGCTGCTGGCCACAAGGCTGGGGCACTCTGTACCCTAGTTCCTGAGGACACATGCTGGAAGTGGTCCAGGAAAGACCCCAGAAGGAGAAGAGCCAGAGAGAGGACATGTGGCAGGGATGGGGTGGCTCAGTGCCCCCTGCAGGGTTGGAGCAGTGGGACTATTGGAAAGATTGTTAGGGACTGGTCAGCCTTTGTGCACCCTTGACCCTGGGTCCCCCAAGCCTACTTTAGACTGGAGAGCTAGAAACATCCCCCGAGTGCCTTTCCAGAGTCCCAGGCTACACATCAATAGGTTGACTTCTACAGAGAAGCTCAGAGAGAGGGAGCCAAGTCCTGAGAGTTCACAGTCAGGGTAGCCCCGGACAAACCCTGAGCATCTGTTCCTGAGCCCATCCATCCAGCCCTCACCTTCCCTCTCTGACGTGGGGAGAAGGAAGAACTGCCTCTAGCACCCACCTGCTCTGCTGACATGAGGCCCCAGGGCAGCCTTGCCATTGGGGCCCAAGAGACGCTGTGTGGCCATCGGGGCAGCACCCATGGGGACTGCGTCTGCAGTCACGGGGCCCCGAACCAGACTGGGGGTGTTGCTGGAGCAGGGACTGATGCAGAGCAGGGGCCGGGCCCAGGGCTGACAGGGGGGAACCCCGATCTCCCCTGGGTTCACCCTGGGCTGAGGGGTGCTTCCACGCTGCCCCCCACTGGTCTCTGGAGTCTAGAAAGGAGCAGAAGCAAAAGACACAACACATCACCCAGCTCCCCACCCTCCATCCTTCCACCTTAGACCCACCTTCCCCACCCTGCCAGACCAGTCTCAACCATCACTGTGCCCACCATTGACCTTCACCCTTCAGGTACCACCCAGTCAGGACCCCAGGACCCCAGGCAGGGGCTGCCACCAAGCCTCTCACCTGAGGTAAGGGGCTCCTGAGGGCCCACAGGCATCCAAGGATTCCTGTGTGGGGTCACGTCCTGCATGCTGGGGACCTCTGCAGGGAGCCAGGCAGCCCGTGGAGGTGTGGAGGGAAGCAGACTGTGTGAGCCCAACTGGTGGCCAGCCTGTCCATGTGGCTCCCACCCCAGTGCTCAGGAGGAGCCCAACACCAGGGACAGCACCAGGAAAAAGGAGCAGATATGATGTCCTGAAACACCCAGCTATGTCCCACAAGAGTCTCCCAGTCACATAGAAAACGCTAAGGTTACATTTTCATCAAAAAGCAGCACCACACAGAGAATCAGCATCTACAAATGATGCCTGTGAAATGAGGTGTGCTGTAAGTGTCAACTTTGCAGGGGGCTGCAAAGATTGTGCTTCTCAAAATCTCGTAGAAGAGAATGGAAAATATCTCATCAATAATTTTTATACTGATTATGTGTCGAAAATATATATATTGAGTTAAATATATTCTTTTTTATGGTAGGGGACAGGGTCTTGCTCTTTCATATAGAGAAAGAGTGGGCTGGAGTGCAGTGGTGTGATCATGGCTCACTGCAACCTCATAGGCTCAAGGGATTCTTCCACCTAAGCCTCCAAGTAGCTGGGACCACAGGTGCCCACCACCATGCCTGCCTGAATTTTTTACTTTTCATAGAGGTGTTACTACATTCCCTAGGCTGGTCTCAAATTCCTGGGCTGAAGTGATCCTCCTGCCTTGACCTCCCCAAATTCTGAGAATTACAGATATAAGCTGCCACATGTGACCTACATTCTTAAATATAAGTTCACCTGTTTTTTTTTCATTTTTTTGAAACAGTCTCACTATGTCACCCTCGGTAGTGTCGTGGCATCACAGCTCACAGCAATCTCAAACTCTTAGGCTTAAGCGACTCTCTTGCCTCAGCCTCCCAAGTAGCTGGGACTACAGGTGCCCACCACAATGCCCAGCTATTTTTAGGTCTTGCTCTGGCTCAGGCTGGTGTTGAACTCATGAGCTCAGACCTCTATGGAAAATAGTACGGATGTTTCTCAGAAAACTAAAATAGACCTACCACATGATCCAGCCATGGGAAGCCAATCAGTGTATCAAGGGATCCCTGCACCTCCACGTTTACTGAAGCACTAGTCACAACAGCCAAGATATGGAACCATGTACGTGTCCACCAGCAGGTAAACGGGTAAGGAAAATATGGTATCTGTACATATGGAATACCTTTCAGTCATTAAAAAGAATGAAATCGGCTCAGCACCTGTGGTTCAAGTGGCTAAGGCGCCAGCCACGTACACCTAAGGTGGCAGGTTCGAATCCAGCCCACCAAACAACGACGGCTGCAACCAAAAAATAGCCAGGCATTGTGGTGGGCGCCTGTGTTCCCAGCTACTTGGGAGGCTGAGGCAGGAGACTCGCTTGAGCCCAGGAGTTGGAGGTTGCTGTGAGCTATGATGCCACAGCACTCTACCC